TCCATTTTCATTGCAGAATTCATCAAATTTGACATTGTCAAATTCTGTTCCATGATCTGATCTGATACAGACAACTCTAGACTCCATCTTTACTTGGATTTTCTTCACAAAGGCTACAAATACCTCAAAAGTTTCATCTTTTGTTCTGAGAAACAGAGTCCATGTGAATCTGGAATAGTCATCCACAATCACAAAAATGTATCTCTTTCCTCCTCTGCTTTGCACCTTCATAGGTCCACACAGATCCATATGCAGGAGCTCGAGCGACTTTGAGGTGCTCACATCTCTTTTTGACTTAAAGGAGGACTTCACATGTTTTCCTCTCGCACAGGCATCACAAACCTTTTGAGCCTTGAATTGTGACACAGGCAGACCATGGACCAGGTCCTTCTGAATTAGTTTGTTCAAAAGAGAAAAACTTGCATGTCCCAATCTTCTGTGCCAAAGTTTAGCATCATCGTCAACAACCTTCAGACAACTCAGGTCACCATTTTGTAAGGATTCAAGGTCATCAACATAGATGTTCTTGTATCTTTTGGACACCAGAACTATTTCACCAGTCACAAGGTCAGTGACTGTACATATTTTGGACAAGAACTCCACCTTGTTTCCCTTATCACAAATTTGAGAAACACTCAGGAGACTGTACTTAAGTCCATTGACATAGTACACATTTTCAATAGAGTGAGTGAGTGACTTCCCAACTTTTCCAACTCCAAGAATGTACCCCTTTTTGCCATTGCCAAAGGATACACTCCCTCCTTGCAGGGCTTTTAGTGAAAGAAAGTCTGTGGTGTTCCCAGTCATGTGTTTCGAACATCCACTATCCATGTACCATTGTTGATCGCTTCCCTTCACTGTTCCCTACACAAGAAAATTAGGAGTTAGTTTTAGGAACCCAAACAAGTTTGGGTTCCTTGTAGTAACCAAGAGGATGAATAAGAGCTCTCTTAGTCCATGCAGGTAAAGTGTGTTTTCTGTGAGTGGAACCTGGTCCCTCTTTTGTGATCACAGTTTCAGCAACCACTTTATCTCTTGGTACTGACTGATTCTTGGCCTGGACACTTTCCATGGAGTGCCCAGTGTTCCCACATTGGGTACGAGGCCAGTTATCAGATGCAGTGGCGTTCTTACTGTAAGGGTGGTAAGGATCTTTCTTCCTTGGGAACCCTACTGTCCGCCCTTTTTCACTAACATTAGTGAGCAAGGCCGTGGTAGCTTCTACGGACCAGGTCCACTTTAGAGACTTTTCAAGATCATTCATTACTTTTTCTAAATTGACTTGGAGGAGCTCGTTTTTCTCAATTTCAGCACTCATCCTACATCTCAAGGCCTTCACCCCATCTTCAAGCCTAGAATATTCCTTACTCACTATCTCCTTTCCTCTTTCAGAGCATTCAGGTTTTGACTCAGTCAAAAGCTTTGCTATTGGTTCCCTTTGGTCAGAAGTTTTTGCCAAGAGATCACTCTTTTCTTTTCTAAGAATTTTAATGGCTTTCGATTGATCAGTGATTGCAGCAACTAAGTCTTTTCTAATATGATCAGATTCTTCTAGTTCTAAGAACAAGGAATCCCTATCCTCCGCAAGATTACAAAAGGCAGTAATTAAAACATCAGCTAAACATATGAGTTCTTTTGGAGAATAGGATTTCAGATTTCTCTGAACATCCTTGAAGGTTACCTCTTTGTTACCATTGACTTCATCATCGTTTGATTGAGCCATTAAAGCAAGCGTTGAGTCATATCCAATCTCCTCGCCTTCAACTGCCATCGTAGAACTATCATCAGTGCCAGATTTTTCTAGTTTTACTTGTATAGTTCCCTCATAAGCTATTTGCAAAGCCTCCCATATTTCCTTGGCAGTGTCGCATGTAGAGATTTTGTCGTACTCTTTAGGTTCCAATCCATCTACCAGGATTTTCTTGGCACGAAAATTCTTCTCCATCACTTCTTTGTCTGCTTCAGTGTATTCATCGGTGGTCCTTTTTGTTGAAAACGGAAATTCATTTTGTACCTTGATTGGAACAAACAGACCATCGCAGATAACATCCCAAAGCTCGCAATCCTCGGCCATGATGAAATCATGCATTCTAGCTTTCCACCACCAATAGTGTTTTCCATTAAACTTGGGTGGGTGGTATATGGATTGTCCTTCTTCAAAATTTAGTGAAGCCGTCATGAGGATCCTTCCTAGGTGTTAACCTGATAGGAGGAACCCGCTCTGATACCAATTGTTAGCTTGTATGGGTCCACCAAATCTTAGAGTACCTGGTCCTCTACAAGTTTCTGCTGAGAGCACTTAGTAAGGCAGTAAGTAAATTAGGCAGAGGATTTTTACGTGGAAAAATTCCGCACAAGGAGATCAAAAAACCACGACCTACCCTGTAGGCTTTTAACTTCACTAACTTGTAATCTTACCTATTACAAGCCACTTTACAATGCTTCCGATTGTAAAGACTTCAAACTAACTTGTGGCACCTTTACCACAAGCCACTTTGTGCTATCCTAGTTACAAAGGCTTTTTCTAACTTGTGGTGCTATCACCACAAGCCACTTTGCAATACTACAATTACAAAGACTTTTCTTTATGACTAAATCTAGCCACAACCTAAACTCAACGAGTCTGAGGATTTACAAGAGAGTTCCTAATCAGTAAACTTCTAAGTAAGCAATTTAGGAGATATTGTAAGTGCAATAACAAGGTTACAACTCAACTAGGACAACAATAATCAATCGTTTTGGAACTGGTCCGTAGTAGCGTTCAACCTTGTTCTTCAAGCTTGAGAGATTGATCTTTTCTGTTTTTTGCTAAAGGCTTGAATGAATGAAACTGAAACCATTCAGTGATGTTTTGTATAAAAACCCCTTTGGTAAATCTTGGTCACATCACTTGAAATGATGTGAGTACTTTGTTTGGTTAGAGAATGAGTGGGCTGGCAATGTGGTGCAGTGTGGCAAAAACAGTGCCGCCGGTCACTTCAGTTCCAGCTGTGTCCAAATGACTTGTGCTGCTATATAGGAACCACAAGAGCATCAGGTCCTTGTCTGGTTCCTAGCTCCTATAAGTGTAGCAATTCATCTTTTACTGGAGTCCGTTGGAGTTTGTAGCAATCCAAGGTAGATCTGGTTCCCTAACTGGTTCTTGTCAGAAAGTTTGTTAGATCATCAAAACATAAGGTAAGAATATTTAAGATCTATCAATCTATATCTATATTTATATGTATATTTGTATCTATATCTATATTTATTTTATGATTACAAAAATTATATATTTATCTATATTATATAAAGAATAGTAGTTGATAATGATATTAAATAAAGTTACAAGTTAATGAAAAGTCACATAAAACGTAATAAGATTATTTATTAGATTAAAAAATAGCAAAATTATGTTAAATTATTGAAAATTTACTATTAGAAATGAAGGTGAAATACTATTTGAATTTGAGATTAGAAACTTCTTAAAACTATGATGAGAATGCTTAAACTATGGAGAATACCAAGAAATTGAAGTCTTATTTATGAAAAATAATAAAATAATAAAAACAAAGTATAGTAAGAATTTTGTTAAAATAATATGATATAATGTGCTCAAACAATATAGATCACAACATGACATGTTTAGTATTCTTTAATATTGACAGCGAAATGAAATGCAAGTACTAAAATTAAGGGGTTAGGTTGCTACAAATATAAAAAAAGAATAGGTTGTCCACTACGAGATTTGTATAATAATTTCATTATCTTGCTTCATAAATAATATCTAATGTTATATAATTTTTATCTGAGAGGTTCATATTTTAAGATCATTTGCACATCATTCAAACAATCTACATCATAGTTTAGCATGATTTGTGTTCGTGTCGCACGGGTACTAATACGATTTTAACAAATAAAATGAGTAGTGCAACACGAGCATTTTTGTGCTCGGCCCATTAATGGTGGGCTTGAAATTTCATTTTACTAAACAAAGGTAATGACAGGTGTTAGGTGAAAAGAAGTCCACCTCAAATGCAGAAAACAAGCTTGCAGTAGAAATCAGAGCATTGGGCTTAACACTAACAGCTTGTCTAGATGGTTGTTATGTAACGATTTTGTAACGTATGGTATAGTATTATATTATATTATATTATATTTTATATATATAATATTTAGATAGATTGTATTGTTTACCGTCGTTATGTATTGTCATGTACCAATAATATGAAGAATAACTTACAATATTATAAAGAAAAAGTAAGATACGAGATAAAATTACTATATAGAAAAGCGAGGTAAAAGATAAAATAGAACAATCTAATAATAAGGAAGGACATAATGAGGGAAAGAAAAAAAAAGGTAACAGTGAATCGAATCGGTTGTTCCATAAAATGTGATTTTTCATGGTTATGTAATGCTGAAATTATCGATACGATAATAAAATAAAAATAACAATCAAAATATTATTTAATTTAACAATACAATACAATACAATACAATAAGTAACAACCATCCAAATAAATTAACTGTTGGGACATTCTCTGAGTGAGCAGTCCATCAAATTCTGAGAGTCATGGATGAAGGCTAATTGATAGTGCTTTAGATGATAACTAGATTTATGACAATATATATGTATCTTAGATTTGCAAATGGAATAAATTAATCGTAAAAAACTAGGTTGTATGCTCATAAATGAAGTTTACAGATTAAGTGAGCCTAATTCTTTCATTAATTAAAGAGTATAATTAAAAATCGGTGGTTTCCAACGCAAGTAGTAACAAATTGCCATTATTCGTATCGCCGAAATTTTGCACCTCATTTCCACGTGTCAATCATTCTCTTAAAACATAAAGCCAAGCGCCACGATCGGCACACATGTTTCCGTCCAACAAACATTACTCAAAAATAGTCAAAATTCACAACCTTACGTGTCCTTCCTTTTCACAACCCACGTTTCCGCTCTCCTAAATATAAAAGACTCAACATGCCTCGACGCGGAAAATAGAATCAATTCTCTTTTTTTTTTTAAAAAAAAAAAATTCACAAATTTGCTAAAATGGTGAGACCTAAAGGAAATAAAGAGAAAAAAGATAACGGAGATCGTTACAAGGGTGTAAGGATGAGGAAATGGGGAAAGTGGGTAGCAGAAGTACGGCAGCCAAAGAGCCGTGATAGAATATGGTTAGGATCTTACGATACGGCGGAGGAAGCGGCGAGAGCTTACGATGCGGCGGTGGTTTGCTTACGTGGACCATCGGCGACGATTAATTTTCCTAATGATCCTCCACTTATTCCGTCGTCAGGGCCTAATTGTGATCAGCAGCAGTTGTCGCCGTCGCAAATTCAAGTGGCGGCGTCGAGACATGCGCGTAGGGTTTGTGAATCAGCTGTTGTAGATTCTAGATTACCAGCTGTGGAAACTGTGTTTTTTAGAGATAATAATTCAGAGTTTGGTTGTTCTTCTTATGTGGATTGTTATAATTTGGCTATCACCGATAAAAGTAGTACCGGAGATGGTGAAGTTTTGCATGATGATTTATTTGATAGCTGTTTTTACGGCTCGAACCCGTGCCGACAGCTGTGATATATAGACAATCTGGCTGTTTTTACGGGTCCGAGCTCGGACCCGTGCGAGGACACGGAAACAAGTATTTAGACAACTATTAGTGGAGTTTCTTATCAGTAGTAAGATTAATTAAGCATCTTTTCATCAACTTTTAATTCCAGTTTTATCTTTTCATCAACTTTTAATTCCAGTGTTTACTAAATTGTTGCTTATTAGGTGTATGGGTATTCTTTGTGTACTGAACTAGCTTTTACAAAGCATTAGCACCATGTCAAATAAACTAAAAGTATAATAGGCTACGATTAAAGAAAGCCATGGAGGACAAAATTTAAGCTAAACTTTATTACTCATAAAAAAGAGTACTTAATTACGCCTAAGAATACAATAAATGAAAACTAAAACGAACAATGTAACAGAAAACTCAAACTAATCTACTTGCAACAAAACCATAATAATGTAGCAACATTATCAACAATTACTATAATTATTTAAACCTAAACCTAACACACAGCCTCAACAATAAGTCTCTTGGCATTATTTCCACAATTTGTCGATCCAAACACTCCTTCAGATGCTAGCACTGAACATTTCTCTTTTCCAACACATTCTTTTTCAATAATAGAAACAGCATTATTCTCACTTGAACAACTACCTTTGTCAAAAGAGCCACAAATTCCTTCTGTTTCACCAAAATTAGCATAACGAATTGAAGTAATAGGTTTACCATTGCATGATAATTCCATAGTTTTATTTTCATATGCACTTCCACAAGCTGTTCCAACTTGAACTGTTTGGAAATTTACTAGTGATGGATTTCCACCAAATTCTTCAAATAAAACCAATGTATTTTCGTCGCTTTTCAAGAACGAACGAGGAACATGGTACCTATATAATAAATGGTAAGTAACGTATTAAAGATCGTCAATAATACCGTCAATGCATAAAACTTAATTATTGATGAAAAGATCGTCAGTGCATAAAACTTAATTATTGATGAAAAGATAAAGTGAAAAAATTTACCATCTTTGTGTAGGTTCACCACAACCAGAAGCACATTTATCAGGACCATATTTACCACGATAATCACATAAATCAGTAGAGCAACCTTCTTCTTCTGCTAAATAACTTGGCCAATATCGACCTATACTTTCACCATTAATCCATGCATGTCCCTTGCCCAAACCTTGTAAATCTACAACAACTGGATCATTTCCTAGTGGAGCTTTGAATGTTGTCTAACCCCACAAAAAAAAAAAAAATTATGTCAACAAAATTAAATACACAAGAACCGTCAAACCTCTCTATAATGGTATTATTTAAATTTTTGAAGAATTAACTCAAATAGCCACACATCCAACAGATTAAAATAAAAATAAACAGTGTAGATATAATATATGCATTTTTTTTGTATTATATATATATAACTATGTATAATCAATGCATAATCTACGTATATGCTAGAAAAAGTAAATAATGAATATGGCTATTTATTTGTGTAAAGATCCCATTTTTTTGGTTGATATAGCGAAATGCTGTTATAGAAATTATAGTGTAATATAATATAACATGAATATCAGTTCCAAAATTTTACCATTATAATGAAATGTTATTATTAAGAAAAATTTTACCATTATAATGAAATGTTATTATTAAGAATGATTGTTATAGAGAGATTTTGACTGTATATATAAAAAAATAAATGAGTAAGAAGTAGAGATAAGATTCTATATAGTATTACCTTGTACCAAGTCATCATTCTATTGATCGGAACATCTTGAGAGAACCATTGTCCATTCTCAAATTTAGGGTTTCCAGAAAACAGCTTATTGTTAATACCATTCAAATCTACCTTATAAGACCATTTATGAGAAGACAAATCCTTAATCACACTCTCATCACCATTCTTTCCAATTATTTCAACTGGACCAGGAATTCCACTTTGAACTGTATCAAAGTGAGCTCCATAATTCTGTTAATTTACCAAAAAAAAAAAATTGTGAACATCAAAAAATAAAAACATTATTTTTTGTTAAGAATATAATACAAAAAGAAAATACATATACCTGTAATCCAATAGTAGCACTAAGCAATGATATATGATTCCTGCCTGGATTCAATTTAACTTGCTTCTCAAAAACATAGTTGAATATTCCATATGTTGCCCATTGAGAACCTACATAATTTTTTTTTTTCCATAAAATCAATAGTAAGACTTACCAAAGTCCAAAAAAAAAAAAAAAATTTAAATAAAATTAAAAAAAAATTTCTTGATTTCTTACCAAGATATTGGCCGTTGACATAAGCATGAAGAATGTGGCCACTGCCATTAACTCGAAGGGTCATATTATCACTCCAGATTGGATCATTTTTGCCAATATAGACACTATTTCATTTTTTCAGAATAACATGTTAGTTTGTTGATATAAAACTCGTTTGACAACGAGAAAATATCACATAAATTGAGACAGAGGGAGTAGCTAATATATAATTAAAGTGTCCATAGTAACTTACTTAGTCATATACCACATGTAATCACTAACATCATTAGCAACTTTTTGATCAATCAATTCATGAGCAGAAGATTGTCCTCTTCCAAGAACCACAGCTTCATCAACTTTCTCAGGCCTCCATGACCATTGGAGAAAAGATGGTTCATTTTCAGCATCATTTGTTTTCTTCACCATAACTGAAGTTTGAGTATTGACCTATATCCACCACAAAAAAATAGCCGGTCAAATTTATTGTTAGAGTCAAACCTCTCTATAACATATATTATAACATGGCATAAACATTGGTTCCATAAAAACTCGACTTTTATAATGAATAATAGTTATATAACGGTGCTGTTATAGAGAAGTCTGACCGTACATAGCTAATAAATTAAATATATTACCTTGGCTGTGTTGTAAACTTCAGTCTTGCAATCTGGTTAAATACTAACAGACCAAGCTGGGACATTGTATTGAACACCATGATAAGAGATGGTTGCATCTGTGGTCTCATTTGCATTGCTAAAGAAGCAACTTGATTGTCCATCCAAAGCATAAATAGTGACCTAAAATAGCATTTTAAAAAAATTATAAAAATAATATAATTTATTTTTTAAAATCTAGAAATAAAAAAATTTGATAACATGATCTTATTAATATACCGCAACAGAATTTCCAAGATCAGAGTTGGTAATATTTCCACTGGTAAGAGTTTTCTCCATTGAATGTAACACATCATGAAGTTCCTTTAAATGACCATATTTTGGCTGTGCCAAATTTCCTATAATATATAAACACAATGCAATTAATTTAATAATACATTAATATTAAAAGTAAAAAATAAAAGGCAAATCGGTACACAGAAAAATTAAACAACTTACCAAATTCGTCAAGTGGTGCATCATAATCGTATGTAGTAGTAATATATGGACCACCAGATGTTCTACCAAAATTTGTCCCACCATGGTACTGAAATATTAGTTTTAAAAAAAATTAATTATAGCTATTGTAACAAATCGAATCAATGCAAAACATAAAAGAAATAATATATTATGAAAAAGTAAAGGAACGAAGAAAATATTAACCATATAATAGTTTTGGAATGTGCCACCAGTTTGGAAAAATCGTGCAACAGAATAAGCAACATCCTCAGCTGTTCTTAAAGGATCTTTGCCACCCCAATTCTTGAACCTTTAAAAACATAGAAAATTGTGAATATTAGTATATTATTAAAATAACATACTTATTGAAAAATTTAAAAAATAATCAAATGTGCAAATCCATAAAAAAACTTACCATCCAGTCCAATTTTCAGTCCACATCTTTGGGGTATTAGGATTGCTTGGTGTAAATTCATCGCAGTACCAACCATTGCATGTGTTTATCTAGAAACAAACATTATTTTATCACATCAATACATTAAAAAGAAAACAAGAAGATACTAGCCAGGTGACGAAGCATATCACGTCCACGCAGGGTCCAAGGAGGGGCCAAACCCTAATGGGGTCTAGAGAGGGGCCAAACCCTAATGGGGGTCGGAATTTGACGTAGACAGTCTACCATGATGCAATCACCAATGACTAATTCCATAGTATGAACCCGTGAACTATAGTGAGAAAAGCATCTCGTGTTCACACAAGGTGCATGGAAGGACCAAACCCTAATGGGACAGCCTAACGTGATGACAGTCTACTCTGATGCAAGCACCAATAAATGATTCCGCAATTCAAACTCGTGAACTATAGAGAGAATCTCGTGTTCACGCAGGATCCAAGGAAGGGCCGAACCCCAATGGGATTTGACCCTGATGCAAGTATTATTGGCTGATTCCACAGTTCAAACACGTAAATTATAGAGAGAAAATTACCATGGATTGGGGAACATCAGGTTGTTGGCACATGATCCAAGGAACACCAATATCAAGTGATTGAGCAAAATTAGCACACCAATCAACATAAGCTTTTCCAGCATCTCCATAAGATGTTTGTACGTTTCCATATTCATTCTCAATTTGTGCTAAAATAATTGGACCTCCTTGAGATGCAAATAATTTCTCTTGTTTCACCATATCAACTATTAACTGAGTAAAATTTTGCATCTCATTCTGTAATAACACCATAACATTAATTTAATATTAGATATATTCAGGCCTTAACCAAAATTTACACGTAGTAATTTAATTAAATAATAATCATAAGTTTAATTACCATATAAACTTGGTTGGCTGTACGGAGCTCAATTCCAGGCATATTGTGTAACCATACTGGAAATCCTCTGAATAAATATATTTACAAATTTGTTATAAGTCAATTAAAGAAAATAGTAAATTAAAAAGAAATTACGTACTATATTATAATTAAGAAAAATTTATTACCCGTAATTCCATTCAGCACAAACATAAGGTCCAATACGAAGAACAGCATAAAGTCCTTCATCTTGAATTGTTTTCAAAAATCTTATGAGATCTAAATTCCCAGAAAAATCATATTGACGACGAAGTGGCTCGTGTGCATTCCAAAATACATATGTTTCAATTGCATCCAATCCACCTTCTTTTGCTTTCTTTATCAAATCTGGCCACATCTACCAAAAACAAACGTAACATTAAGTTTAAACAACAATAACCACAAAAAAAAAAAAAAAAGATTATTTATTCAGCGAAACTCCACAAGTGGGATCTAGGAAGGAATATGTACGCAAACCTTATGCCTACCCTAGGCAAAGGCGGATAT